TGAGCATTTATTTGAGCTACTCCAGCCAGCCTCATAGTCAGAGTTGTACTAGTAAAATATTTAAATGCCAAGTCGAGCCCATCACGATCGAAACTTGGTAATACAGAGTCTATCGGATCCTTTACAGCAGTCCACATAAAATCTAAACATGCAACAAAAAATGTAGGTGTTCATATAGAAATGAAGAATTAGTTTATATATTCGCAAATGCGAATCAACAATACAGTACACGTGTATGCTTTTAATTTCAGAAACATACCTGCCATGGTCCTAACAGCTGGTGTACGCAGTTCCTTATCCTCTAAACGACACATATACTTCATAACACGACTGCGGAATGGTATAAACAGTTGAATGACACTGGCATAGTTCAACCAAAGTTTCAGATTACAAATAACTGCAACCATAGAATGCGCAAGGCTAACAGGCAGTGTGCTTTCCATGTCGAAACAAGCGGATACCAAATTAAAGCCTCCTTGATGGCAAAATATAGATACCGCGCGGATCAAAGGCGCCGGTACTTCGGGGTCGTGCGGCTCACAGTAACCACCTTCGTCCTATTAATTTATAAAATAATCAACGTTATTAATCGATCTAGGATGCAAATAAGTAATAAACTGGATAAAAGTTTTACCTTGACGGGAGCTAAAGGGTTAATTACACCGCCGTGTTTCATTGCAATATAGAGAGGAAAGTTGAGTAAAAAAATTTTCGAAAGTAGATGAAACAATCTTTCCTTTTCATACTGAGACCACAATCCTTGTTTCGTCTGAATTTCCACTTGTGCGTGCTCTGCATTGTCGTTAGATTTTCGCTTATTATTTTTCTCTTCCTCATCCTTTCCATCCTTAGGCGTCTCCTTAGCCACATCTCCCTGCTGTTCATTTTGCTGTATAACTTGTAATTGTTGTAACGTACAGAGCACGACACTCTGAGTTAGCCTTATAAATCGATCAAAATTTTTAATTTCGCGGTAACAGCACATACATTGTCTAGAAAAGAAGAAATCATAAAAATAATGATATTGCATGATTAATAATTACGATAATAACAATATAAAAATAATTATAAAAGCTTAACCCGTTCGCTATAAGGAGTTAATAAACATTCATTACAAATATTGGTTGTAAAGACATGATTTTAATTAATTTGTTGAAACAACTTTCCACAGATTCTTATCCAATTTATAACATTCTGGACAAATTAATTTATGTGATAGAACTGTGTTACACATAAAAAATTTCATTTCTCAGCGTAAGAAATAATATAAAATCTAACTAAGAATATGCAAGGATTATCAGTACAATAATAATTTTTTTAGTACTTCTAATTGGTAGAGTTACTTCATATATCTTTATATCTAGACTATTTTTTTTATCAATATTTGATTACTTTATTTACATTTTGATTAGATACTCCTTTTGTTCTTTAATACTAAATTATTCTTTCTGTCCTAATAAATTGATATATTATTCTTAGTTTTGTGAAAAAATTAACAAACAAAGACATAAAAGAAAGTATTAAAGTTAATTAAATCGAATAATATACCTTTGCACCCACTGATTAACATAATGCAATGTCGTGTCCACATCTGTTACATACAATGTTGCCAATGCATCTTGCTCCTTCGACGAACGTTCGTCATCTAAAAAAATAATTTATCAGGACTCACAAAGAAAATCGGTACAAACTTAAAATACTATTCACAAAAGAATATGTTTTTTTATCAGATAATCTTTCATCTCGCGCGACATAAATAAAGAAACGTAAAATGTTAGGTTATCCAACAAACATACAATATCTCGAAAATAACAAATATAAAATTTAAATTTTACAAATAAATAAATTAAACAATTCATTCAACAAGTTTATATGAATGAATTTACAACATCAAACGAATACCAGTCGTATAATCGCTTTAGAGTATCAAAAGATAAATCGTAAAATCGTAAAATCTCCAGTGGAGAATTTCCGACAATGCTCATTGAATGAATGTTTTCGAACCTACGAGATTTTCCGATGAGCTTCATCGGAAAACAATCGTTATACAATCCACGTGTCTAATGTTCACGTTTCTACCAATGTGGACTTTAATTTGTTTAATGCTCTTCATCTTTTTTTAAGAGCTAGGAAAACATAAAAAATATATTAAATCAAGATTAAAGTGAATCTACACAGGTAGAAAGACTTAAGAAAACGTGCTGCTTTTGTTCGAAAACTCCTACGTAATTCAAAAAGCGGCAGTGTAACGTTCGGTTGAAAATTATATATAACGAAAGATTATTTATCCGTTTAGGAAAATGATGCGGAATGTAAAAGACGTTGGTAAGAACAAAGCGACGTTCTCGGCCTCTCGGTCTTTCAACGAAAGACTCGACCGACGATTAAGGTTATAAAACGCTATCCCATTCGATCGTATTTCACGTGGACAAGACGTCCCGATAATAAAGAAGCGAGAACGCGTCGCGACGGCGTTTCACCGTTCCGCCAAATTAACTTCCTCGAAGGTGAAATCCATCAGCGAGATCTCGGCCGCGAACGCGAATCCGCTCGGATAGGTTAAGAATCGGCGGGGGGGAGCCAACGCTACTGTGGGTGCGATATTATCCACTTACAGGAGAGTAGAAGATCGTGAAAATCAACGCACACATCGCACATGGTGCCCGGATTGTTTTAGCCTAGCGAGAGGCCCTCGGTCACGTCAAGTTCATCACTCGCGTTCACCGACGCACGTTGCCGACAACGATAAATATTATTAAACATCCCCCGTGTGCGCTCACGACTGTCCCCTGACGGTCACCATATTGCTTTTTGCGTGCGTACACTCGCCGCTCACTTCAAGCGAGGCGCGTCGCTTCCCCCTTGTGCGGAGGAGTCGCCTTCGTCAGCACTCAGCTCAGCTCTCCGAAAAGGTTACGGATTCGATGACGACACGTGTCACACGTTGCCGTTCGTTGCGCGGCCCGCGACTTCGTATCCGCGATCGTTCGTAAACGCGTGCACGCTCCACGCCGATCGGGTCAATTAAATTTTATCGGTTTGTGGACTCGTCGCGAACGTCATTGTGACAGAAGACAGCTGATCGCCACCATGTTGAATCCGCGGTGCGCGTCGCGATTTAAAAATCCATTTGCACTTTCCCGGAAGCGGCCGCGCGCGCGATCTGTTACGTGCGCGATGCAACGTAAACGTGTGTAAAGAGAATGGTGGAGAACGAATGGACTAAAACCACTAAAACTAACTAAAAGCTGAAACCTAAAACGAGACTGTTGTCTTCTCTCTCTCTCTCTCTCTCTCTTTTTTTTCTCTCTCTCTCTCTCTCTCTCTTTCTCGCTCTCTTCTTTCTCCCTTCTTACTCTTTGTGCGTACTTCTTGAAATATTTTCTTCACGCTACTTGCTCGCGGAAAAGCTAATTCATGCTCCTTCCAGAGGATTTTTTAATCACAACGCTACACAAGATATATTTCTTCCTTTATGATATTATGTTTTGAGTTTTTTATGTTATGTTTGCCACTTTTTTATCATTTCCATATGCTTTATGTCTGAGAATATTAGATAAGCTTTTAAAGCGTATGTTTATCAATAAGAAATTCGTATCATATCACGCGAAACAATTAACGAGTAAAAAAAGCGTATCTTTAGTTTTTATTTTATCTGTGATAATTTTGTAAAAAAAAACCATCGGTTTATCACGCGCTTTTGCAACAATGTAAA